TAGTTCTAGAATATTCCACCAAGATCTAGTCCCTAACTTATGTAACCATTCCATATGGCAAAAATTTATGCCAAGTGGCACCTACGTGGCATGATGATGTGGCGGGTCATGACACTCTCCTCCACCTAATTTTGTGCCACCCTCGGCACAAAGCATCGACACATAAGCACGCACATCGCCTTGGCATCGTCGGAAATCTTTGTCCATTAGCCATGATGCCCTACGAAGCAGTTCGACTTCCCATGTTACAAAGTACTGGTCACCTTTCTTTTTGCCTCGTTTGCACTTTGGACGGCTAGCCATGATGGTCTCGATCCTCCGCCCATCTGATGCCTCCCCTTTCTCTTGGTCTGAATCTCCCCATTACTCAACCAAGTCCAGAAACTTCTCAAGCATCGGGTCTATGCTTTCACTCCCTATTTGGCTGCCCTCCGTGATCCCATCCTTGCTAGCAAACTTGACCCCTCTGCTTGGTGCATCATCTAAGTCTGATAGTGTGCCATCATTTTGTAAATTACCATCCTCTTCAACTATGTCCGCTCAACTTTTCTTGCCACCACCATGTTCTATTTGCATGGCACCAAGATAGGCTTCGGAATCCCCTACTTTCGGCTTAGGTTCCAAGCGCATCCCTCCAATGCAGGCGGTCTCTCGTGTGTCACCCTTGTGTCCCTGAGTAAAATTCCCGATCATTGTTGCAAGATTACCCAACTCTGGGCATTCACTTGCCCGATGTGATCCTTTACAAAAGTAGCACCCTCTCTTAGACACGTACTCACTATTGTTTTCCGACCCCTTACCGTTTCTCTTGGACCCCTGTCCATTATATGATGGCCCTTTGCCATTGCCCTTGTATACATCGGCTATGCCTTTCCCATTGTCCTTGTCATGATCTCCCTCACCCCTCTCGAAGTTGCCTTCTTTGGACTTGGCAGACTCCATCTTGAAGTCAACAAGTGACTCGGTTACCGCTATGGCCTCGTCCACATTGGCTACTTGATGTCTTCTTAACTCCTGCTTTGCCCAATTTTGCAACCCTTCCATGAAGTGAAAAAGTGAATCTTCCTCGGATAATGACGGGATTTGCAGTATTAAGGTAGTGAACTCGTGCACATACTCCCGAATTGTGGTCGTTTGTCGGAGCTCCCCTAGCTTCTGCCTAGCCTCATACATTACATTCACCGGGTAGAATTGCTTCTTCAACTCCTTCTTGAACTGCTCCCATATCTCAATGTTGCATAGCCCCTTTTCCATGTCAGCACACTTTCGACGCCACCACAGCGCAACAATCTCTGAGAGGTACAACACAACAATGTTGATCTTGGCCTCGTCATCCCTCACTTTGCCGTGCCTGAAGTAGTTCTCCAAGTGCCAAAGGAAGTTTCCACTTCTTGTGCATCACGAGCACCTTTGAACACCGGGGGTTTGGGAGCCTCGATCTTGGCCTCCCTCGTCGCCACAACATTGCTGGCTGCCTCGGTCACGCTAGCGTCAGCATGCTCCTCGAGTGACTCTATCTTTGCCTTCATGGCATCGATAATGCTCAATGCCTCTATAAGTCTGCACTCCAAGGTAGTGATGGTTTTCCTTAGCTCCATCTCAACCTGCGTATGCCCCTGCAAGTCATTTCAGATGCTCTCAATTTCTTCAAGAGTGTGTCCCTCAAGAACTCTATGGGTGACTTCTACCTTCCCCAAGCGTTGGCCAAAGATCTCGACGGCGTCCATCCCCACATTCACCTTCATCACCCACTCTTTACCGAGCGAGACGTCCTCCGATAGGGCCTCCACTTCATCCTCGCTCGCCTTAGTGGCAGATGGTTCTTGGGATGTAAGCCTCTCGTTTGGCACAACCTCAGGTGGCACCTCCTGGCTCTTGTTGGTTGTATTCCTCTTTTTGTTACGGTTGCTCTTGCCAGCAGCATCCTGGATGACGTTGGCTTGGGTATTGGTAGCACTAACTTCTCCGATGTTCGTCATTCCCTTAGTTTCTACCTTTGCTCTGATACCACGTTCTCACATCCTTAGTTGTTAACTAAGTACACATGCGGCACTTGGCAACTTGCTCACGATCTTGCACAACTTGCTCACGTTCTTGCTATACCAAGTCAGCCTTTCTACACTCAAGATTTCTAAGAGAATGGTAGAAAGAACACTAGAGAATTGTTAAAGGAAGCCTTGTATTAGAGAGAACTTGAATTGTTTGCTTGGTTGATGAATTACAAATGAATGCCCCCTATTTATACTAATCACCTAGGGGCTAGTATATAAATAATAATTATTCTACAAGTCCTTCCGTATTTACAAATAAATCCCTTCTCTAGAATATTCTACATAGCTAGAATATTCTATGGACTTTCCTAACAATTCTATAGGGTTCTAGAGTCTTCCTAAGGAAATCTCTATATTTCTCTAGAACCTTCCTACAAGTGCATAAATATCTAGAACATTTCCAAGGAAATTCTCCATAGTTCTAGAATATTCCACTAAGATTTAGTCCCTAACTTTTGTAACAATTCCATATGGCAAAAATATATGCCAAGTGGCACCTACGTGGCATGATGATGTGGCGGGTCATGACATTAATGACTATATTTCTTCTACTTTTCAGTAATGAAGTACTTTCCATTGCTCAGGATTGGAACTTGCTTTTACCAAAAAATCTATTCCCTACAATTAGGGGTGACAAACGGTGGGTCGAGTCAGATATGAGCGTGTCAAAATAGGTAATTTAAAAAAATGGATAAATTATCCGACCAGACCTGTATTTGAGACGGATAAAAACGAGTCTATCCGACGGATAATATGGATATCCATATTATCCATGGCTTCTTAAATATGATCACTTATGAGAGAATTCTTAGTATTCCAAACTTGGAACTCCAATTTAAGGCTTTACAAATGTAAAAGTTAAACACATTAGTTATCCATTGGTTATCCATTTTCTAAGTGGATAATATGATTCTTTATCCATATTCGACCCGTTTTTAAATAGTTCATTATCCAACTCATTTTTGATGGATAATATGGGTGGATAACTGTTTTCTTTTAACCATTTTATCACCTCTACCTACAATAATGAAAGCAGACTTCCAGGTACTATATATATATTATCTCTTAGCTACTCACAAATTATTTCTGATTGTAGTTTTCTTCTTGATGCTGTGGAGCTTGACGAGATATACCACATATTCCGAGAAGAAAATATTGTGGCTGATGCACTAGCTAGACATGGAAGAAGTTCGATTCCACTATCTATGGAAGCGGACAATACAGTGTTCGGTGACGTACCTTTCCCTTTGTTTTAAATACTTTCAATAATGATCAAGCTCAAATGGTCACTACGCTATCCATTTCTCTTGTTTGTAATGACTAACGACCCGTTTGTCCATAGATTTTTTTTCCTTTTTTTTCGAATCTTTTTTTTTTTCAAAATGTGTTTGTCCATGAAATTTTATAAGTTTTTGGATATTCTCCGAAAATGAGTTTTTCAAAAATCAAAAAGTGGTTTTGACCACTTTCTCAAATTTTTCGAGAATTTTTTTTTCATCAATCACAAAATTGCAAAAAAAAAAAAAAAAAAAAAAAAAAATGACATCCTCCAAATGTTCAATTATCTGCTAACAAATCGCATGCATGTGTAAAATGCATGAATGTACATATATAAATAATATGCATAAATACTTCTACATGAGTATAGAATATTCATGCATCATAAANTGCAAAAAAAAAAAAAAAAAAAATTGGTAATTAAGTAATTTTATTTACCAAGGAAAATATATGTACAAGCAAAACAAAACCCATAAAGTTAGACATCCCCAACTTTTTACATTCATCTTCTCTTCCTCCCTATCCCCTTAATTACAAAAATAGACAGAATTTAACTAAGGAAAGAAGTTCATCCTTCTCAGCTGCCCCGCAAGTTTTTGATCCCACTGTCTCCTACAATGAACATCTTGTATTATTTTTTCAAGTGAAATGCATGTCTAAATATAATTTCAAATCCAAATCATTTTTCAACTTTACTTCAAATGCTATTTCTTTTTTCAAAAATTATAATTTTTATGTCCAAACGCCTACTAAATACGCTTTTACTTTTCAGTAAGGAAGTACTTTCCATTTTCTCAGCCAAAAATAAAAAAACGAACTTTAGAATCGAAAGCTCGTAAATGAAATTGCAACCATGTAAAAGAAAAGATACATATGAAAACACAAGAATAGGCTTTCCAGGTAAAAATAGCACGGTATAGCCAGTTTTCGGACTGGTCATTCAAAAATAGTCAACGTTTACCAAGTCAATAAAATTTAGCCACTATTTTGCTGCAACAGGGACCGGTCCAGCATAATATACTGGAGTTCGATGCACCTGTGTATGAACTCCAGCATAATATGCTGGAACGGTATACTTTGTTGGCTCCAGTATAATATACTGGAGACTGGAGCACCGGTGCTCCAAACTCCAGTATATTATGCTGGACCGGTATACTTGCTGGAACTCCAGTATATTATGCTGGAGTTCTAGTGTACTTATGCTGGAACTCCATCATATTATGTTGGAGTTCTAGCATATCCTGGAACTCCAGTATAATATGCTGGAGTTCAAGTATACTTATGATGGAACTCCAACATAATATACTGGCGTATTTTTCGGGTTTTGAACAGTGTTTTCGCTCAAATTTATCTTTATATGAAAAGTGGCTAAATTTCGATTACTTTTGAAACTGAGCTATTTTTGAACGACCAGTTTGTAAATCCTATTTTTGAATTTCTCCCGCTTTCCAGTAAGGGATTCTTGTGGCCAAAATTTGTACCAAACCAGTTGGTTCATCATTGTTGAATTTGTCATTATACTCCCAAGTTTTAAATGGTCCGCATAATTTAGGAAAGTTATATGTTAGGACAATTTACTTTTACAGATTTGACATACAACCAAATCATTTTGCTATCTCATAAAAGAAATTGGTATTTCTGACATAAATTTCTCATAAAAAATATACCAACTGAACAAATGAAATAATGTTTGTACTTTAATACTATGAATTTATGTGTGAGAATAATGACAACTTCTAAAAATCCAGCTCCTATGAGACATTTGGCTAGATTTTAGATATATCTACTAGTATACCCTTTGCATAGTCTAATTTAGTAACCTATTTGATACAATATATTTTTTGTAAAAAAAAAAATGATTGGTCACAAAGCCAAGAATTGATAAAACTTTACAAACAAGAAAAGGGAAAAGCTCAGAATCATGAGGCTCCAGCTGTGCATGGTTCGTAACTAGGTGGATAATACCAGGCTTTTGTCTGCGACATGGTTCAAACTCGTGATTTGCGCCTATCCACTAGACCGAATCTCTGGTGGCAAGAATCTCATAAACGAATCGGCAACCCATAGTTGAGGAATGTTCTAATGCATCCGTCCCATCCGGCTGTGACAACCACAAGACCCCACAAATGGCTCGAACTCAATGCACTTTGCCAAGCACTCTTCAAGATCTTGTATTCGGATTTAGATATAGAAGGGGACGCATTTGCTGGACTTGAATCGGGCAATTTCTCCTCCGGCCACGTTGGAGAACCCTTTAATATTGAATCCAAGAAAGACGCACGTCCCAAGGAGAAGCAATCTTGTAAAGATGAAGTCTTTGGCTGCGAGTTCTCGTTGACATCACCATTTGCTAAAACACTTCCTGGTGGTAGTGTCCCGGGATTGGTTTTAAAGCCACACCATGGTATTGTAACTGATGCATTTTGGGAAAGGAAACTCTCAGATGACCGAACTTTCTTTGCTTGGCCAGTTGTCCCGTCCTCATTACTATAGTTCCAGATATAAACATTTGAATCCTCAGTAACCGCGAGAATGTGTTTCCCATCAGAAGTGAATGATGCAGGACATTGACTACCCAGATTTTGAGTTCCTGGACATGCAGCAGATAACACTTTGAGAAAATCTACCGACTATTAAATTAGAACGGGAATAACTGCAAACACCTTATGCTTGGAGTTAACCAACACACCTTTGAATTTACAGATGATGTTGGATCCAGAAAGTATTCGAACTTGTGAATCAGCAGAAGTAACCATGACTTTGCTTGAGTCGTTTGGGCAGTACTGTATGATGAAAGTTTACGTTAGTTCTCACGCGCATAAAATCAGTACAAAAGATCATTCTTGTGAAAAATAAGGTAAGGAAATAAATAGTTACCTGAAATCCGGTTACTCGCTTGTTAGTAAGCTTCTTCTTTCCTTGTAGGCTTACATGCGAGCCCATCTGCAAACGATTACCTAACCCAAAGAAATGATAATCCATTAACGTGAAAAGTATCAACTGCTTACAACTGACACAGCTGTGGCGTAAAAAGGAAAATGCGTCCAGCATTTCCAAATGTGATTTCTTTTGTTAAGTAGTATGCACGCATGTATGTTTAATGCACAAGGTTGGTTAAAACTTGTAATAAAGGAAGATAATACTTTTCATCTCATAACCTATAGTTTGGACAGTTTGTAGTCCGTGCCAAATCTTCTACTACCATGGAATGAGAGAGACAGATAACACATATGTCTAAAACCATGAAACACAAGCCGGAGATGACTTCAAGTCGTATGATTTACCAACATTCTCAACCCCTCCTCCCAACCTTACGCCCAACCAATAGACTAACAGAAAACCGCAATACCAATCTGCATTAATGCTCTTTCCAGTAACTTCGTGTTATCCATATATCATAGCAGAATATTAAGACTACACAGAGGTGGAGCTAGGATTTGAAGCTTATGAGTTCAGAATTCTAATCTTTTTAAGTTATTGGGTTCTAAATTAATGATTTATGCCTCTCCCCCTGCCCCCGCAAGAGAGAAAGGGCGGGGGTAATAATTAAGAGATGGAATGTGCTCGCTAGGAATTAAGCTTGTCCCAAAAAAACAAAACCAAAAGAGGTTCTATTCTTCGAGGCAGACAATTAAACTGCATGATTATATGCTTTTCTACCATGATAACCTACTCCGCAATTCAGCATAATCAATTCCCAGAATTGTTCTATTCTTCGAGTTAATATAGAAAACATTTATCTGAACGACAACGAGAAACATGAAAAGGACCAGAAAAAGGGATAAGAAAACAGACAAGCTTCCGTACCTACTACATCATAAAATCGGCAATTTCCATCCATGTATCCCACAACACCCCCCTGCAGCAGTCACAAGCAACAAACTTAAATAAGTTCCATTTAAAATCAAGTACCATCTTTAAAAAGGTTAAAAAAAACAAGGCAATCAAACCTTTCCATCAGGACAATAACAAACAGCAGTCACTATTTCTTTTACATCAGTCCAATCAATTACTCGACAACCGTGCACGTCCCATAGTCGTATTTTCCCATCTATCGATCCACTAATGAAATAATTATCATCCATAGGATTGAATTCTACACAAGTGACTGCATCAGAAATATGAAATTAACACATGTATGAGGTGACCAACCAGTAAACTCAGAAAAATACTTCGGTAAGAAGAGTAGAAGCGTAGAAATCGGCTCACCATAATTATTATGCGAGTAAACACCAAGGCATTTATCATGTCCTGCTTGCCAGAGACGAGCTGTTTTATCAACAGAAGATGACAGCAGATACTGCAGAAAACGATGTTGCACATGAATTACAGCTTATTTAAAAGATATGTCACAAATATGCTTAAACCAGCGAGATATTATACTGACCCCATTTTTGGACCATGAAAGGGCCAAGACTTCACCCGTATGCCCATGGAACTCGTGCAGTGGTTTCTCCATTATCCGGAATAACTTTGGTGGGAGGACAACACAAGCAGATTCGGATGATTTTCTCATCATTTTCATCCCACTGATCTTTTCTTTATAGTCATTGAGAGAAACTAATTTGGACAAATGATTTAGTGAGAAGTATAAACAAGAGGGGTCAATATCTTGAGCATTGAAATCTTCAGGAATGTCATCTTCGGTCACTCTCCAAATGCGCACCGTGCCATCTTTGCCCGCACTTGCCAAGTATTGGCCACAAGGACTGAACTTCATTGTTATGATAGATCCTTTGTGTGCTAGGAACTCTTGGCCCGTGTAAAGAGAGGACAGTTCTTTTGACTCCTTCTTGCTGGAGTGGACCCGAACTCTTTGAGTACGAACCCCTGACTTTAAATTGAACTCACTGGTAGTAGATTGGACTTCCTTTGTCCTCTCTTTATGTCGGGTGGAAATTGTGAGTTTTTGAAGCAAACTTCTGATTTTCGACTTTGTATCAACCATATTAAATCCCTTAATATCTCTGTGCAGCAATTGCTGAATCAAAGCCGATGAGCCAAGATTTCTCTGAAACTCTTGAATAGTGAATAGCCTGTTTGTACCTACTTCACGTAATCGGCTAAGCATCCCATCTTGGCCCAACTCATCCGCAACAAACTCTGATCCGTTGTCTAGATTCCTAATTTTCCAACACATTGGATCCTCTACGGAATCCTTCTCCAATTCCAAAGCTTCATTTGATTGGGAAGATCGACCAGAGAAAAAATTTCCTTCAGAATCTGAGTTTGCGAGCACAGTCTCATTGACATCCCTAATTCTATCGGCGTTCGTCTTGCTTTCATTAGAGTATATCTCGGCCATTTCAAGTCCATTGCGTCTGTCACGGTTCGAGTTCAAACCCATCCATTTCAAGAATCTATTGCGGCGTTCATCAACACTTTCAGGATCCTGAGTCCAAACTTCATATCCTAAAGCGCATTTGGCAATCTCAGAACCATCCGAACCCAAATCAGAGAGAGAACTAATCTCATCGTGTATATCAAAGAAACTATCTTCTTCAGTCTCACAGTAAGTTCCCATATTTATTCAAATTCAACCCTCAAAGTACTCCTTCGAAACGAACATAAAAACATATCAGAAGCAGACTTCAAAAGCAATATAATTTTTATATTGTCAATCAAACAGGAAATATCACTTCAAAAATCAGACCACTTCTTCAATTCACACCACCAACCCCACAAGAAATCCCCATCAACAACAAAAAGGAAAAAACTTTAAAGTCTAAAAACCGATATTTTAGCATTCACTAGATGAAATGGAGACAGAGAACCAAGTGAACTGAAGTCAAGCAATTCCCAAATCAGAAATAAACTTCAAAAGCAAGGGGAAAAAATCAATCAAACAGGAAAGAGCACTTAAAAAACCAACCCATTTCTCCAATACACACCACCAACCCCACAAGAAATTCCCATCAACAACAAAAAGGAGAAAACTTTGAAGTCTAAAATCCCAGATTATCAAGAATTAAAAGGCAGCCTGGTGCACTAAACTCCCGTTATGCCCGGGGTTTGACGAAGGGCCGGACTATAAGGGTCTATTGTACGCGGTCTTACCCTATATTTCTGCAAGAGTCTGCTTCCACGGCTCGAACCCATGACATTCTGGTCACAAACAATCAAGAATTGAGCATCAAAACCCCCCCAATTAACAAAAAGGTGGAAACTTTAAGGTCCAAAATTTCCATATGATCAAGAATTGAGCATCAAAAAACTCCAATTAACAAAAAGGAGGAAACTTTTAGGTCCAAATTCCCATATGATAAAGTATTGAGTATCAAAAACCCCTCAATTAACATAAAGGAGGAAACTTTAAACTCAAAAATTCCAATATGATCAAGAACTGAGCATAAAAATCCCCAATTATGAAAAAAATAATACAGATCTTTCAAAAGGGTAATTAAGCAACCAAGTTAATATAAAAAAGAACAGTAATCAATTGTACATAATCAACAGAAAAACTTAAATAAACATGCTTATACAGTTATACAAATTCAAACAATAATAATTCACTATTTTCAGTTAAAAAAGAAAAGATTTTGCTTACCTTAATTAATTTCCATGAAATTATGAAAGAACCCCAGAAATTATTTCACAAAAAAATGATCTTTAGCATCCAATAAATGAAATGGAGAATTGAGAACAAAGTGGACTAAAGTCAAACAATTCCAAAAATAAAAATGGATTAAAACTAAATATACTAAGATAAAAAGACAAAATCCCAAGAAAAATGGGAGATGATCCCAAAGATGAGAAGTGAAAAAAAATTGAAAATTTCGAAGAAAATGCTTAATGTCTGAAAATTCTGGCTTTCACTTTCGACGGAGGGGACAGACAAATTTTGTAATTTATGTTGACGGTTTTACCCTTCCCCGCCTTTGTTGTGTGTGTCCGTCCAACTAACGGTTGTAACGATTCGTGTCATGTCTGTTAATTTCCACCAAATTAAATGCTCCTTTTTTCGTTTTATTTTTCGTAATTTATATATATCTAAATTTTAATTTATATTATTGCGTTTAATTTGGTTTCAGATTTTCAAGGACATGATCTTTGATAGAAGGTGTGGATATCGAGCATTATGGTTGTAGGTTAGAAGATAGTAGTACTCTTTTCTACTTTGTATCGGGTGAGAGACTAGTCTGATGAAATTGTGTCCTAGACTGCTAGTGGTTATTGTTATGTCCACACTATTCTTCCACTTTTCATAATATCGAGCTTTACTTACGTTTTATTGTTACTGTTTTTCATCTATTTTCTGGTACTTATGATGTTGTTATTATTTCTAAGATTTCTGTTGATGTACTGATATATTGTCTTTTTCGTCTCCTTGAGCCAAGGGTCTATCAGAAACACGCTTTCTACACCCTTGGGATAGGGGTAAGGTCTGCGTACTCTCTATCTTCTCGAGACCCCACTTATAAGATTTTATTGGGTTGTTGTTATTGTTGTTGCGTTTAATTGAACAAAGTGTCTAAGAAAAAAAAATAGACTCTTCGTATCAAAATTTACATTAGTTTAAGATTATAATTTAAAAAAAAATATAAATAGATATTTTTTTAAATGATTAAAAAAATAAGAGTGACTGCATAAATTAAAATGGAAAAAGTACATAATAATTGCTCTGTTATACGAGAACTATGATGCTAATAAAAAAAGATGATAATATTCGTGTAACTATACAAGGATTAAACTATCATTTTTATGACATCTCAAATTATTTAATTATTAGTGTTGATATATACGTGCAGAAAAAAATGTTAATTTATATGTTGGTTCTTACATTTCTTAAAGTAAAATCCGCATTTTTAAAAATTGTATTAAGAATACCACATTTTATAATTAAATATGTTTGGTAGGATTTGGTGTATCCAACCTTTTGTCTCATACCTACTTTCTGACAAATTAATCAATTGGATTGTAGATTTATTGTACATTAATTGTATAGGTGTAATTGAAATAAATTTGTATAAGTAAGAATTGGCATCAATAAATTAAAATTCAAGCACTTAATCATGAAGTTTTCTATAAAGACATGAAGTTTTAGTTGTAAAAAATAAAGTCTATGCTGTCATGCTCAGTGTTTTAAAAGGCGTGTGCGTAAGGCGACGCGTTTTGCATATGTCTCAACGAGGCGTAACCCGTGGCACGGGGCGTAAGCTCCATAGGTATTTAATTTTTAATATTTTATAANCCATCCCCATAAAAAATTAGTCAAAACAATTTATTATACGCTACTTAGAAGCACAAGTAACTTGAGTCGAAAAAAATAAAGTTTTCTACATGTAGGAATAAAAAGGATGACTAACCTGCTGTTTGCAACAAATTTATGTAGAGAAAATAAAACTGCAATCACAAACAACTATAAAGAAAAAAGGATTTATTGATAAACATTTCAAGTTACAACTCTGTTTATCCCTTGATTCTTCTCTCCGATTTATTCTACGTGATTTGAGGGCCTTAGCGACATATTTCTCGAACATAGGACTTTAAGCAAGACATATTTGACATGTCTTGGATCTTGTAACGAATATTCCAAGAGTTTCATGGAATTTCGGAGATCTCATATTTGATCTCTTTGTGCATATTCCGAGAGTTTATGGAATTGCTGAGATCCTCTTTGAAGGACATATGTAACCTTATTTATAGGAATGAATTAGGGTTTGTGTGGAGTAGCCACCAAGTAACCCTAATAGACTGCTAATATTTCAAGAGTTGTCTTGAATTTAGGATTTATCTTGATCTATTAAAATTTTAGTGTCTACACCTGCAATTTGAACTTTGAACTTGTTGCTATGATGTATAATGTAGTTGTCTTTGTATTTGTAAAGAAAAAAATTAAATATTCGTTGCTTTTGACAGATATTAGCACACTAACGGGCAAGATAAAGAATTGGAAAAGACAATGAATTAGGGCTTCAATCATTAAAAAAGGTCTTGACTTTTAAATTTAATATATTTCACTTCCTTTTTAAAACTTTTGAGTAATTATCAAGCTGACTTTTGAGAATTTCGGTATTATATGAATGGCTTATTCAACAAATTTTGTTTTAATTTGAAAAAGTCTCTAGGACTTTAGCCTTACTAAAAAAATATGTCTTAAACGCCCGGGCGTACGCCGGGACGTATGCCTCTTGAGACTTTCGCCCCACACCATTGCCTCGGGACGTTTTTGGTGCGCCCCGCCCCACGGCTCGCCTCAAAAACGCCTTTTAAAACACGTCATGTTGAAGATGGAAGTTATTTCCTCTTTATAAACTTCTAAAAACTCCGATTGGAAAATGTCTGTGAACTTTTCATCCGAATATATTTTTTAAAACTTGTCATGCATACAAAAATTATAAATTGAAAAGTAATATATTTATCATGTGTTCGAGCCAACTTACACGCATATTAAATATTTTATTAAATTTTTGATATTTTCACCAACATAAATATTGGATAATATAATTTTGTCTATCACAATTCAGCTAGATGGAAAAAAATATATCTAGTAATATAAATGTCAAAACATTGAAAATTAGCTTAACAGTAATCCAAGCAAAGTTAACTTTTGACCAAACAATAAAAGGACGTAACAGTAATGTCATATTCTTCCATTCTGTACATCGTTTTCGTTCTTCTTTTTTCTTTTTTTTTGTTTTCATATTGTTATTTGTTAGGACGGTATTCCTTAAGAAAATTCCAGAGAAAAAAAAATGAAATTGTGGCCCCTATAATTCGTCAAAATAATGCATATTATGACCTTTCATTTGTCAGCTGCTTTGTATCAAGGGAGATTGATTTATTCTTAATTTGATTTTTTTTTAAAAAAAAAAAACGAGAGAGAGAGATTTACCGTATGATAATTGATATAATATAATAAACCTACCAATTATCCAGTGGCGGATATACATCGACACATATTACTTTTGACCCGATTTAATAAATTTGTATACGTAATTATAAAAATATTTAGATAAATATTGAGTAAACACCCACAACTAAACTCTCTTTTCCTCTTTTTCGGATTTTTTATGGGCGAGCATTCATAACTTTAAAATCCTGAATCCGTCATAGCAATTGTCCACCCTGATAACATGTTAATGAGTTTGAATATAAAACTCAAAATTTTAAATTAAAAGGTGAAAGGCGAGTTCAAAACTCTAGTAAAAACTTATCTAACAAAAACTTATCTGATATTTATTCCAAATAAATCTAAGTAAGACATGTGTATATATATTTGGCCAAAACCAGAGGCAGATTTAGGATTTCTGAAAAATGGGTGCATCATTCCGGGATGGGAAAATCGAGTAAACTCTAAGCGTATGGGAACGGAAAAGTTGGGAATTGATTGCTTTAGTGATTTAAAGAAGGGTTTCATCAAATATGCATATGTATTCTTGTCAAATTATGTACATCATATATATACTTTAATCAAGAAACACGGGTTCACGAAAGGATGATAAAGATGAACCATATTTTATACCATGGATCCATCTTGGCCGAAACCTTTTGTTAAAAATGAAGGAATGACATCCGTTACGCCATAATTATTATATGTACATATAAGTACACACATCATAGGTTTAATTATTCGTTATCCGAATTTTACTAATTGAATTAATTTTGATTAAAATCCTATAATAGGAAACCATTTCTCGCAATTATATTTCCATGATTTTGACAAATTAACACGAACTCTTGACTTTGGCTGATTATACTAAAAAATTGCCACCGGCAGAAGCACACCACACACGGACACAATATTTTTTAAAAAATAAAATAAAAAATATGACCGGTAATTAAGGAAAAAAAGGTTTTAAATTAATGAAAGAATTGCCTTTGACTGGGTTTTGCTTTAATGTGTCTTGTTGGTATGTCATTTTCAATAGTTAAAGGCGTAATTGGTTGCGTAAAAGGCTAAAAAAAAGTGGTGTAGTAGCATTAGAATTTAGAACCCACACATTGACCATGGAATAGTGTAATGTTTTTTATATCATTAAATTATGATGACCTAAGTGGGATGGTAAGCAAGAGGTTGTGAGTTCGAGTCTCCTCAAGAGCAATGTGGGAAGTTCTTGGAGGGAAGGATGCCGGGGGTCTATTTGGAAACAGCCTCTCTACCTCAGGGTAGGGGTAAAGTCTGCGTACACACTACCCTCCCCAGACCCCACTAAGTGGGATTATACTGGGTTGTTGTTGTTGTCTGTTTTTGTTGTAAATTATGATGACCTAAAATAACATATTAGCTACTTATAATTAATTATTCAAATTTAATAATTAACTAGAAATGCAATGTTACGTTATAACTAGTTAAACTACGAAGAAATGTTGTGAGGATAGATATGATCCCTCCACTCTTAACTAAAGATTTCGGATTCGAACCCTGAAAATAAAAAAAAAACTCCTAATAAGAAGTATTTTCCACGTTAATTAATTTTATACGTGCAACGCGAGTCCGAATTAGTCGAGGCTACCTTTGATCAGATGGGAAATCGGAAAAAAAAAAAAGAACTAGCTAAACACTGATGTATATGAAAAATTTTCAGTATCAAATTATATAATTTGATGGCATTATTGAGTGCATAAAACAACAAGTATTGCTATACTTGAGCACTAGAATCCATGCATTGACCAAGGATTCTATATTTAGCTTTATCCATTCGAGAAGACTACTCATTCCTCGGTATTTTGGGTGCATATCCTTTCCTAAATTTTCATTTTATATTTGCATATATATATATATATATATATATATGTGGTCAAACAAACCTTTGTATACTAATTATTATACAAAAATTAGATGGTCAGCAATCCACCTCTAGAAACCTGTTAAAATATTTATCTACTATCCCCTCCTCGCTTCTAATATTATTTATTCAGACTCATTACTACAAAAATGTCAATACTATCCTACTATTCTTATAACTCTTTCCCTTCAAGACAATTTTCAAGGATTGAAATTTATAGTTTTGAATTGCTTTGCGATTTTCTTGTTGTGGCTCCCTCGATAGTGTATATCTTAACTATTAGCCTGCTAAAATTGTCAACATTGCTTCTTCTTCCTTGAAATATTCTCTGGTTTAAATTTCAAATTTTCTTGGATTGAACATAATTCAAAGCATGCATTTGAGCCTTTTTGTTTGAAGAACAACAACAACTATCCAGTAAAATCCCATATAGTGAGATCTGGGGAGGGTAATGTGTACGCAGACCTTACCCCTGCCCTAATCCGTTTAGTACTCCATGTACTTATGTTATGTATAATATTAATTCCATAACGGATCAATTTAATCCCGTAGCGGATCAATTCCAACAATCCTTTCAAACTAGTACTATTATCAATCGACTTAACTTATCAATACTACAGAAAAACAACAACAACAACAACAACAACAACAACAACAACAACAACAACAACAACAACCCAGTATAATCCCACACGTGGGGTCTGGGGAGGGTAATATGTACGCAGACCTTACCCCTACCCCGAAGGGTAGAGAGACTGTTTCCAGGAGACCCTCGGCTCAAAAAACAACAGAAGCCGATATATTAGTACCACAAAAATGCATAATAAAATAACAGCGATACAATAGATATGAAATACAGAATACGAAATACGAAAAAGATGGTTGGTATAGTAAAACTAGCAGGTAAAGCCCTGCATCAATAGACGACCAATGACCTTCTTAGTCTAACTCCTAACTGGCTAGTCTCACTCTATTGTGTTGTAGGAATATTCACAACTCTCCCCTAACCTACAACCTTAATACTCGACCTCCATAATTCCCTGTCAAGGGCCGTAGTGTTTTAACTACAGAAACAAGGCTCTTAATAAGTTCAATGTTGCCGTAGTGTTTTATTTTCTCTCCATCCCAAATTGTTTGATGATCTTTGATCGAGTTGTAGCTTTAAATTTTTTTTGGCAAACACGATAAAGATAGGAGTAAGGCTACGCACTCAAGAGAAATTCAAAAATAGTCAGATTTACAACTGGTCGTTCAAAAATAGTCCAGTTTCAAAAGTAATCGAAATTTAGCCACTTTTCATGTAAAGATAAATTTGAGTGAAAACGCTGTTCAAACCCTGAAAAATACGCCAGTATATTATACTGGAGTTCCATCATAAGTATGCTTGAACTCCAGCATATTATACTGGAGTTCCAGGATAAGTATATTGAAACTCTAGCATAATATACTGGAGTTCCAGCAAGTATAATTGTCCAGTATAATATACTGGAGTTTGAAGCACCAGTGCTCCAGTCTCCAGTATATTATACTGGAGTCAGCAAAATATACCGGTCCAGCATAATATGCTGGAGTTCATACACAGGTGCAACGAACTCCAATATATTATGCTGGACCAGTCTCTATTGCAGCAAAATAGTAGCTATTTTTCATTGACTTCGTAAACGCTGGCTATTTTCAATGACCAGTCCGAAAACTGGCTATACCGTGCTATTTTTACAGATTTTACAGGCCCCAAAATTTATAAATAAAATTATACATAACAGTAATATAATAGTGAAATTCCATATTTGATTTTCTTGAATTTGAATTTAATTCTTTTTGGCCATATCTTGATATACATAAATTTGGAACTGAATACATACATACATTATTTATATTGTCAATCTACAATCCATTTAATATATCTTCACTAAAATATATGTATATCATCCATTTTATATTAATAAATCATGGCTAATATAAATTGAGACGGATAGAATATTTGGCAAAAATGTTTATGTTTCACCATGTACTTAAAAGTTGAAAGACATTGGGCCCAGGCCCATGTCCATTCCAAGTGGGCTCCATCATTTTATAGGAATTAGAAAGATCATACATGTGGTGTGGGTGGTGGGTGAGGGGCCTTTCTATAAACTTAAGAATAATTGTTTGGAAATGTTACATCAACGTGGCAACTTTTGGAACAAATTAGACCCCTTCTTAGATTTCCTTCTGATATTGTGGTCCTTTATGAAATCTATAACACACACTAGAGGAAACACTTAGATTTTATTTAAAAATGATTGCAAATCATATTTTTTCGACAGTGGAAGAAGCTTATCATCTCGACAAAAGAAACTTTACATGTGACCACCAAAAAATACGGTGGGATGGATGCGATCCTTTAATTTTATCTGAAGGTTTCATGTTTAAAGTATGATATTGGATAATCTTATAATAGGGAGCGAAGGACGTACCAGTTATCGTGACTACGATAAATGCTGAAAAACTAAGTACAGAACAGATAACTGATGAAAAGATTTAAGTTGTAAGCTCATCCCAAGATGAATGCTCTCCTTTTCCGACTTCCCAGAGCCTCCGGTAGCACCGCCGAGACAACGACCATCTCATTTACATCGTTAACATGGATGGAATGCAATGTTACAAAGATCATTGAAATTCAAACTCCGTAACACTATGATTTAAATTGTGACCCCTTAGTTCTTTGGTACTAAACTGTTCGAGAAAGTGAGTTTTTTGAGTTAAAGAATGAAAATTAAATAATTTATTTTATATCGTCTGGGCCTTTATCACGACTCCATTTAGGATTTTGACCGGCGCTTAGGAGCAAGTGCTCCCAAGTAAGCCTCATCGGTAATTTTACAGAAAATCGGACAGAATTTCCCCTGATTTTGGACCATCCAAAAAAAAAAATTCCTGTCTCAAATCAGCAACCAAACACCCTAATAGCAATCCAACAATCGACAACTTATTAATTAACCAAAATAGTCTTCACCATTGCTAATCAACACACTAACAACCTGAAATACTAATTTATCTCCGATCTTGATAATAACGAACGATACTCGGCATAAGACTAATAGCAAAATAATACTCATGACACTAAAAGAATGACTATGGAGCAACTCTAAGAATTCAAAGAAAAAACCATAACAATTGATAAAAATCTCCGCCCACGCGAACAAGTGCGAGGCTCACCAAGAATTCTCAACCTGTGCGCTCTAATTAACGAAATCCTCGCCTGCATCAACTGCTGTCTCTGTAAAAAAAATTTACGGAGAATGAGTCGCTAGCTCAGTGAGTAATAACACTTAACCACAACCGTTTTTATTTGGGGACAAGTCAGAAACATGCTAGTATCTCAAAGAGAAAATAACATAAAAATGCCCTTTCAGAAATAATAAATAATTTTCAGTCTCATCACGCTTTTCTGGTAGTAAAATATAACTAATAATTCAGTAATAAGCTCGGTAACCACGATATAATATCAGTATTCATATTTTTGGAGGTTTCAATGAACGGATCATGTAATCGGTATAACTATGGACTTCTTTGCAAGAAGTCTCATAACGGTATGCTAGTTCTACCTTCCCACTAGCGAGGGCTTTAACGGTAATCGGTAATTACAAGGTGCACTAGGTCTAACGAACCCGCCGTTAGCTACGGAATCCTTCAATGTATACTCCCATTTATACTTGTCTCTGTAATCCGTATATACTCGTAGAAACTATTTTAAAACAATATAGGGCATTTCGGTTCTTATCAAATCATATAATTTCCTTTCGATAACAGTAAATTCAAGTAACGGTAAAACAGATCTAGTAACAATGAAAATATTTAAAACTACGGTATTCATCTCAAATAACTATTTCGGTATCATATCGAGTAAAAGACTTGTCCCACATGCAACTCAAAATAATCGGTAACATGTTCATATTAAAAATCATGTGTAAATCATGCAAGTTATGAAAATACAAATTGCGGTAAGATTACTACTCACAGTACTAGTGCCGAAATACCAAATGCTTCACCTCGAGCAATTCGTACAAATTCCTCCAATCAATCTATAATTACATAATATCAATCTCATGTTAATTTCCTTGTTTAGGCTAATTCATAGCTAATTTAGAATACCCAACCCTCGAGGTTTCATGTTTGACTCTAAATTTTCCCAGAATAACTCTTATTGGTATTTAATTTCTTATACCTTGTGAAACCCTTCAAATATATGAACCGGGATAAAAAAAATTACTAGAAGAAAAGAACCCAGATGAGAATTTGAGTATTACCCATAAAATCCAGTGCGCATTTAAGATTTCTCAAGGTTTGGTTCCAACCTTTTTCNGTTAGTTTTGCTCGTGCTTTTTTAATTGTCTCAAAGCATAAGCTATAACACGACCATTTTGCATGAGAACGCATCCTAATCCCACCCTAGAGGCGTCGCAGAATACTGTAAATCCTCCAGGGACTGATGGTAAGGCTAATATTGGTGCAGTTGTCAGACACGTTTTGAGTTTCTGAAAGCTTTCCATAGATTTTCTACTCAATGCATCAGCCACCACATTGGTTTTTCCAGGATGATACAAAATAGAACAATCATAGTCTTTGAGTAGTTCCACCCAACGACGCTGCCGAAGATTTAGATCTCTCTGCTGAAAGATATATTTCAGACTTTTATGGTCAGTATAAATCTCACAAGTTTCGCCGTATAGATAATGCCTCCAAATTTTTAGAGCAAATACCACTACAACCATCTCCAAATCATGTGTATGTTAGTTTTGCTCGTGCTTTTTCAATTGTCTCAAAGCATAAGCTATAACACGACCATTTTGCATGAGAACGCATCCTAATCCCACCCTAGAGGCGTCGCAGAATACTGTAAATCCTCCAGGGACTGATGGTAAGGCTAATATTGGTGCAGTTGTCAGACACGTTTTGAGTTTTTGAAAGCTTTGCTCACATTCCTCCGTCCACTGAAACTTTGCATTTTTCTGTATTAGCTTGGTCAGCGGCGATGCTATTCTGGAGAAATCCTGCACAAAACGCCTGTAATAGCCTGCTAAGCCTAAAAAGTTGCGTATCTCTGTAGGAGAAGTAGGTCTGGGCCATTTTTGCACAGCTTCAGTCTTCTTATGATCTACCATAATTCCATCTTTGGATACAACATGCCCCAAAAATGCTACCAAGTCTAGCTAGAATTCACAATTCGAGAACTTAGCATAAAGCCGATGTTCTCGCAATGTCTGCAACATAGTCCTGAGATGATTCTCGTGTTTTCCTTGGCTACGAGAATATATCAGGATATCATCAATAAATACTATTACAAAGCTATCTAAAAATGGCTTGAACACTCTATTCATTAAATCCATGAATACAGCTGGAGCATTTGTCAGTCCGAAAGGCATTACAAGAAACTCATAGTGCCCGTATCGAGTTCTGAAAGCAGTCTTAGAAATATCTTCATCTTTAATTATAAGTTGATGATAACCAGAACAGAGGTCAATCTTTGAAAAGTGGACAGCTCCTTGTAACTGATCAAACATGTCATCTATACGAGGCAAAGAATATTTATTGCGTATTGTTATCTTGTTCAACTGCCTGTAGTCAATGCACATTCTCATGGATCCATCTTTCTTCTTTACGAACAGTTCCGGTGCACCCCATGGTGATACATTAGGTCTAATAAAACCCTTATCTAACAAATCTTGTAACTGTTGCTTTAGCTCCCTCAACTTTGCTGGTGCCATTCGATATGGGGGTATCGATATGGGCTGTGTGTCAGGTAGCAAATCAATACCAAAGTCTATTTCTCATACTGGAGGCAATCCTGGTAAATCCTCAGGAAATACATCAGAAAATTCTCTCATTACGGGTACTTTTTCTATACTAACTATTTCCTTTCTTGTGTCATTTACAATAGCTAAGAGACCCCAACAACCCTTCTTCAGAAGTCGTTGAGCCTTCATAAGATACAATTTTGCAAGTCTCTGGAACCTAACTCCCTCTTAGAATAAAACTAGGTTCATTTGGTATCTCAAACTTAACTATCTTTGCATGACAATCGACTACAGCATAGCAAGAAGATAACCAATCCATTCCCATCAACATGTCAAAGTCAATCATATCAAGTACAATAAGGTCAGCTAGAGTATCTCTACCTTCGACCCGAATCTGACAAGCACGATACACGTATTCAGCTAATAGAGACTCTCCAACAGGATTAGCAACTAGAAAAGGATCATTCAATAGCTCGGGCTGTCTACTAAATCTCAAAGCAAAGTACGAGGATACATAAGAGTGAGTAGATCCCAGATCAATCAACGCAAGTGCATCAAATGAACAGATAGAAAGAATACATGTAACCACAACATTCGAGGCCTGAGCATCCTATCTAGTAAATGCAAAAATTCTCACCTGACCTCTACCAACATTGCATTGCCCTTGATTTACAGTAGCACGGTCTCCAGCACCTCGACCTCTATTTCCTGTACCTGTAGCACCTGAAGTATTATGAGTAGTCTGAGTCGGTGCAACTGACTGAATAGAAGCCTGGTTGAAATTTCTCGGAGGCTGAGGGCAATCCCTCAAGTGATGTCCCAACTGGCCACACCGAAAGCACTCTCCAGTTAGAACATGACATTGGCCCAAATGTGATCTACCACAAGTATGGCAGACTGGAGTAGTGGCATATATTTGCCCAGAATTACGATGTCTAGAAGATAATGGTGCCCTATTAACCCGTCTGTAAGGTGGTCTGTATATGGACTGTGAAGACATGTGTGTCCCTATCTGAGAACCCTGTTGTTGTTGTTGTCCTTGATTTCCCGCTCTTCTATTTTCACTAAAACCACCACTGAAAGCCCCTCCTGTCTTGGCCTTCTTACGTAAATCACTAGCTGCACGCTCCTCACGTCCCTTGTTTCAATCTTTCTAGCAAGGTCAACTACATCAGAGTAGGATAAAGTCTTCATATGTGGGGCTACTGCAGTGTATAGACGATCAACCAATCCATCAACAAACCTCTGAACTCGAGCTTCTTCGGTAGGCACTAAGTGAGGAGCATATATAGCCAGCTTACAGAACTTAGTGTTATATGTTGACACATCCATATCTGGAGTCTGAACCAATCTCTCAAAGTCTCTAGCATATTGTTGCATCAGACTGTCTGGAAGAACATGATTCTTGAACAACTTAGTGAACTCATCCCATGTCAGTAGTGGTGCTCTTGCTGGCCTTCCTAACAATACCGTTTCATACCATGTGTTGGCCATATCCTCTAGTTTGTATGCTGCGAGCTCCGCGACTCTCTCACTAGAACATCCAAGAGCACGTAATGCCTTGAGTGTCCCATCCACGAAACTTGGAGGATCTGCTGAATTATCGAAACCTGTGAATTTTGCTGATTTCAATTTCAGGAACTCGTGTAGGGATACTTCCTTATTCTCGAAAGGCTGAGTCTGTGTAGGTGCTTGTGTCTGTAAAGTAGCCTGAGGAGCTGAACTTCCGCCCTGAGTAGGCATCAATGCCTCTAACATATTCAATAACTTTGTCACTGCATCTGCAGGTAAAGCAACAGTAGGTACAATAGTTGGCACTATTGGTGGAGCGTTCTAAACTCCCTGCTCTTGCACTTGATATGGCATAACAGCTTGGGTTTGACCCATGTTCCTAACTTGAGGTTGAGGAGCAGTCTGTCTTCTAGTTTGATGAACCCCGACTTGACCGCCACTCCGGGTAGCACCACATCCGGCACCACGTCCAGCAGATGAGGATGTGCGTGTCCTAGCCATTTGCGAAAGAAATATTCCAAAGTCAATATCAAGTTATCTCAACGCACGATCAAAGAATGAAAGAAGGGAAAACATTCCTAAATGTTCAGTAGCCTCGAGATCATAAGTATGGACGCCTACATATCCATGAGCAAGACTCTACTAAACATTGCTCCATGACTCGGGACTTAAAGCCTAAGCTCTGATACCAACTTTAACAGCCCAGCCCGCTAGTGATATTGTCCGCTCTGGGCCTAGGCCCTCACGCGTTTTAAAATCCGTGAGGACCTAGACCTAGAGCGGACAATATAACTAGCGAGCTGGACTGTTACAGCCTTCTAGCTCATTAGTGGCCCTATTGCAAATATAGCCATGGCCACTTTGATCCAAATATTGCATCATTTAGGGCCCAGAAGAAACAATTCTAGGCAAGCCTTTCATAATAAGGGTCCAAAGTTGATTTTCAGCAGTGTACGACTGTTCCACGTGGTATGAAGGTAGCTAATCACGTGACATCATTATGGGCCCTGGCCCACAAAGACTATGTGGTTAGGCTGTTTCATAATCCATTCTTGTGTTGGGCCTATTGGTTGGTTGGGTTGGTTCATCATATGGTTTTGGGCCCGCAATCCACTCGGCACTGTTTCCTCCAGACCCAGCCCACTCTGCTAGATGCGGCCAATATGACTTTTGGTCCCACTGTAGGACTCTCACGAATCGGACAAATGATACTGTATAGCCGCTCTTAAGATAATAATCGAAGAACATATATTTTTTTGTATATATATATATACATGTTTTGGTATGTTATATACAAAAATATACAAATTTTATACATTTTTGCGACTACCTGATATAAATAGTTTTGACCACGGGCTAAAAGTGATCTTTGCCCCCACCTATTTAGCACATCTCTTGCTTATGATTTCCAACAAGGCCCCCAAGTATTCATCATTTATTTACAGTCTTCCACTAATTGACGGAATGCGTTGTTATCTCCTTATATGATATTTTTTAAGGTCGAGTTAATTTCATTATTCGTATTAGTAGCATGGTATAAGAGTTATAATTAGCCTCGTTCATGCATAGTTTTGGCTTACTTGACAGTAGCCCCGTGTTATATTGTTGATGCTCTAAATGTCTACTATCTAGCCCTAAGCATGCAGTATTAGAACATCCAATATTATTTGAGGAAATGGGTCTCCTTGGTTATCAGGATAAGAATATTAATTTTGGTGTAAATATTAAGATTATATTTATTTTATATTGGATTGTGTGTATTAACTAATATCCAGATATCCCTTGTCTGAATCCAACGATTCCTTAGACTACCATCATCTTATGAACTAACATTATATTTGAGATAGTGTTAAGCAAACGTTAATTTTCTTAAAGGATTTCCCTTTATCTTTTCATATATCACCTTTTGGTCTTCATGAGATTCTACTTAGTGTGTCATTTACGTCTGTAAATCCCGTATCCAACTAAGTCTTTGATCAGGGAACGGGAGAATTCCCTTTATCGCTGGCAGGCCAGCTAGGCCGTGAACGCGGTGGGAAAAGGCTTCCCAAGAAGCCAGCCCGGGCCGGGGTCAGCACAGAATGAAGGGGACGACGACCCTAATCTTGTGTTGGCAAATTGGTAGATATCACCATCTATTTGTACATTTAGTTTTACACTTGTGTCACACACCTTTCATAACATAAATACTACATAAAATATTCTTTTAATGACACATGGAAATTAAGAAATGAATGACTATTCATGTCCATGAAAAAAGTTCCCATGCCAGAAATGAAGGTTTGTAATAACAACAAGGGAAAGCTTCAAATAAATGAAATCTAAGTCTTTTTCTCTTTCTATTTTTCCTTTGTATTGCATGTTCCTTTCTTCATATTACTGCAACTATATCCATAGGAGGGAGGCTTCATATAATAATGGAGGTTTCACATGCATATGCTTTATTAGTTTTAATTAATGTACCAAAAAGGTACCAAATGCTTTTGACAAAGTCGACCTAAATGATGGACCACTTGGAGTAACTAGTAACTACTACATCTACGAGTATATCATCACTTGATATTACTCGACTTTTGAAGAATATATAGTATTGAAATTTAGTATTATTTGGTGAATCACATGATGGCAGAAAAAGAAAAAGAAAACGTAACCTAGAAGCCTAACTTTTATGAACCTTCATGGGTAAAGAAATGAAGAATTGTATTATATCGGAGTCAAGTTTTCAACTTTATGGATTTGGATTTGAGAATTGCAATTTTAAGAGCCACTAGTTGGGCCTTAAAATTAATATTTGTACATATTTAATAAATTTTTAAATACAAATATATTGTTTGAGCAAAAGCTATTGGGTTCGATCGGCCGAACTCCCGTTCAGGCTTCTAGCTGTGTCACTGATACTATGCCTCAATATGCTCCCTCATGTGTACGTTTATTTTATTGGTCAAACATGTAAAAATATTTTGCTGCGATATTGAATCCTGTGACCTATATGTTACGGGTTCGAGCCGTAAAAGCAGCCAATAATACTTGAATTAGGATAGACTGTTTATATTACACCCCTTGAGATGCAAATCCTGAGTGAACGATGAATATTTTGTGCACCAAACAACATTTTTATTGATTCTATTGTATATATGGATTATTGTTGTCATAAATTCTCGTAGATCTAGATCAACTTGGAAAATTCTTGTTCAAATAACCTATATATGATCAATCCCACCAAGTTGAGAATGGTGAAATCATGATAGCATGTAGGATGAATAATTCAAACCAAGTCATGCAGATATATACTACATGATTCCTTCAATTATTCACTGATTTGATGTGACCTATTGATTGCTTAATTTGGTTTGAGGCTAACAACCTAAGCATTATTATCCAGCATGTATCATCTACTAGTAGCCCTCTTGTATCCATGTGACTTTGAAATAGATTATGTCAGTAAGGTATTTTGAGAAGAGCAAATATTAATTATTTACGCTGTCCGTTTTAATTTATGTGAATTTATTTTATTGAGCACGAAGTTTAAGAAAAAAAAAGTTTTTTTTTTTGAATTTATGGCGCAAATGAAACATATATATTTTGTGTGACTATAAATTACTGTATAAATATAAATTATTTTTAAATATGAAAAAGAATCATTCTTTTTAGCACGGAGTAAAAAGAAAATATGTTTACCTACATTGAAAGGGGGGAGTATATTTTTTTGTTTCTCACTCGATGTCCAGTTTTGCATTAGAAACTTGACTAATTTAATTCCGCATTGCGTAAGACCCATTAAAAGGGAAAGTATTCCTTACCATGATTTTCTTCATTCTCATGTCAATTTCTCTTTTGCAACAATTTTTTTTATTATTGTCGTTTCTGGGATTTTCAGTTGCAAAGGCAAAAGAAGTGAAGACTAGATTAAAAACACTTTGACTAGCAAGGGGAATATTAGGAAAAAGGTAAAAGGAAATAACAATAGCAAAACAAAACAAAAGCTAACATACAAAGAGAAAAAGATTAGTGATAACTATATAGAACTCACAATGTGTTAATATAATTTATATAAAGATAATAAAATAATACACTCGCAACCATAAGGATATCAACATATATTCCTTGGACTGATATGCGTCAAACGTTATTAATTTAAAAACTAAAAGAGTATATAATTAAATGGGGTATTATCAGTTTAGCCCGCGCCAAAAACTATTTACATTTGAAAGCCAAAAAAGTGTATAAAATATATATAATTTTTGTATATAATATACACAATGTGGGTGTATATATATACACAAAATATAAATAAATTTTATACATTTTTTTTCGACTATCATTTTTACAATGGCTATACACAATGTCATTTTCCTATATAAATGGCGTCGAAAACCAAACTTTTGTAGGAAGAAAAGTTCAAGAAAATCTAATATGAACATGAAAGAAAATTTCTCAAACATTTTAGTCATTATATCTATCTCTTTTACCTGTATAAACACTGAAAGTAAGAAAAATTTCAAAAATTTTCAAGTTCCCAAAATCTAGTTTACGGTAGTTTTTGGGTGAAAATTTTTCTTTCACTCACAAAACTTCAACTTTATTCAAATAAAATATATGTCCAAACACAACTTCAATTTTTAAAAAATATTTTTCAACATAATTTTAATTTTCTTTTTCTTTTTTTTTATGTTTTAATATTCAAATCTATGTCCAAACGCTAGCTAAGCTCATATTTAATTTGTTTTTGTTGAACATAAGATGATGAGAGCTTGTCACATGTCCCACATTGGATTATATGAGGCAGCCAGGATAATATGTCTTCATACTCTTTCTATGAAATATCAAAAGATTTTGCAAAATATGTACAAGCAGAATATATAACAACTCATGTAGATCCTTGACATTGAATCTGTTCATCAACAGTTCTTCCACAGAAAACTAATATTTTTGGAACTTGAAAAGAATGTAAGTTTTTTTTTACTAACTTTATTTGTTGTAATGCGTGATCATCTTATCTAAAAACGGTTAAAAAGGGCAGAAAGAATATTTTTATGTACTTATATAGGTCTTATTCTGCTTGATGAGCCAAGTAAAATTTTTCTCGATAATTGATGGAGGTGAGACTCAAATTAGTAACCTTTATCTATTTTAATACCATGTTATAATGATGATTATCTTATCTAAAAGTTTAAGATATTTAAAAGAGCGCACTTTTTACGCACTTAATTATTTCTGAAACAACAATAATAACCAGGGGTGAAGATACACTCTAGTAAGGGTGGTCAAACGACCACTCTTCGTCGGAAAATTACACTACATATATAAGTAAAATACTAGATTTTAAAAGTATATAATAAGTATTGAACATCCTTTGTCGGGGATTTTTTTTTTACTTCTTTCAAGTTTGAATACCCTTGAACAAATTTCTAGCTTCGCCACTAATAACAACATATTCAATATAATCCTATATAGTAGGATATAAGAGAATAGTATGTACGCAGACTTTACCTTTAATTATTTCTGAAACAATATTTATAAGGGTAACAATAAACAATGACACAAATTTGTAAACTGGCCTCCCACAAGAATATAAAATTGATTCTGCAAAAGACATATATTCCTCCACTAACAAATGATAAATTACTATAGTCAATATAAAAAGAAATTGTTATTTAATATTAAACAGTAGTAGAGTACATACACACACTCTCTCATTCTCTAGACACAGTACAGCCATATACATACACAAAAAGCTAGCACATAGAACTGTCCACAAACCATCTCAAACATTCCTTTTTCTTCATTTAAAACCACTCAAAAATCTGCTTATTTTTCTTTTTGCATAAAATAACTTTTGCTTGTTGCTCCTCTCCTTCTTCATCAATGGATACTGCTCAATGGCCACAGGTATAGACTACAAATTTTACAAATATATCCATTTGTTTTTTTTTTCATTTTTGGCCATTTCTTCATATTCTTTTTTCATTGATCTCCATTTAATTTGGACTTTCTCTTGATTACAAATTGAAATTTTGTACTTTTATAAAGGTTGATGGTTCTTTTATGTGATTGTGAAAAGGTTGAAAAAGAGAAAAAGATCAAGTTTGTTAGTAACTTAATTAAAAGTATAAATTGTAGAAAGAAACAATTTTAGTATCTCCTCTTCTATATGCTCCTTTAATTTATTCCTTTGAAATTAATTCCTTTTTCATTCCTTTCATTTTGTTTTTTTAGGAGATAGTGGTGAAACCCATGGAAGAGATAATACCAAAAAATACAAATACAATTACTACAATATGCTCATCAAAACCTAGTACTCATATTGAAAGGAAAATTAGGCCTCATCAAAAGGACCAAGCTTTGAATTGTCCAAGGTGCAATTCAACAAATACAAAGTTTTGTTATTACAACAACTATAGTCTTTCTCAACCAAGATATTTTTGCAAAACTTGTAAAAGATATTGGACTGAAGGTGGATCTCTTAGAAGTATTCCTATTGGTGGGGGTTCAAGAAAATCCAAAAAATCATCATCTACAAATTGTTCTTCATCAAATACTGTGTTGCGCGAATTTTCCAAAAATGTTGTCGCGCCAGTGTTGGATCCTCCTAAGATGGAAGGGAGCCAAGATCTTAACTTGGGATTTTCCTGTGATTTCAAGACTATCTCTGAGCTAATCCAAGTACCTAATAATTCTTTTATGCCAATGCCAATTTCTGATCCAAATTCAGTTTACTCATCACTAAATTTCTCTTTGGATTATGGCCTTGGGATTAGTGGTGATTATGAAAATAATCTTCAAGATGTGCAAGATAGTACAACAAGTGGAAGACTTTTGTTTCCTTTTGAAGATCTAAAGCAAATTTCAAACACAAGTATTGATTGTGCTGAGGAAAATAGAGATGGGGAATCAAATGGCTATTGGAATGCAGTTTTAGGAGGAAATGGAGGATCTTGGTAATTAAAGAAAATCAGCCACTGACGCTTGCATTACGGTAGACTATTTACATTACATCCGCTCGAATTGCAGCTCTTTCTCGGATCCTGTATGAATGCTAAATGCCTCGTACATCAAGCTGCCCTTTTAATCTATAAAATTATTTATCATGGATTTTTTTATATTTTTGTGGGGGTTTCTTTTTTATTTTTGTGCTATTTATTTTGTGTTTAATGGTGGGATAAATTTAATTCCTTGAAAATCTAACTCATAGCATTAAAGGGTTCTTTAATCTCTTAGATCTCTTTATTTTTCAATGTAGTTAATATCTTTAATTCGACTTTTGGTCATGGTTGAGTGGGAAATTTGAAGCTTATTTTAGATTGGCTTCACTACAGTGAACTGGTGGAGAAAATAACATATAACCCATTATGTATGTTACCTATGTTTTGTATTGAGTTTGTGAGAAACATAAAGTCATGTGCACAAATAATGTTTGTTTGCTATTTTAATCATTTATCATTTGAATGTGTTATATTTTCATCATCCTTGAATAACATGATTCAACAATCTAAACTCGATATGAAATTATTTGCATACAAATAACAATATAAAATTAGCTACAAATTTCGTCGCTAATCTGTCAGTAAATCGTTTGTAACTAACAAAACTTTTTGATAATTTATTGCGCTAATCTATTAATGACAAATTTTTCCGTCTAGTCACAGAATTTATCCATCGTTAATTCTTACTCCCTCCGGTCAAAAATAAGTAATTTTTTTGGTGATTTCACACATATTAAGAAATTTACCTTTTAATATTAATTAACAATACCAGAAGGTAGCTTGGAGGAAAATAATATGCAACAACTATGGACTTTCAAAATGGATATTCATATTGAGAACTGCAATTCTGAAAAAATTGGCAACAAAGAAAAGATTAGCAAGATGGAGAGTAAATATAGAGACCACATGTGCACTATGCCAACAAGGGACTGAAACAGTTCAACATTTATTCTTTGAATGCTAAATGACAGGAACAATATGGCAGCAATTGCTGCATTTGCAAGGAATATAGAGGAAGAAGCTGAAATGGCAAGAAGAACTGGCATGGATACAAAGAGTAGCAAAAGGAAGAAGTGGAGGAGCAGCTTTATGCGGAATAACTTTAGTTGCTGCAGTTTACTATATATGGCAGGAAAGAAACAATATCATCTTCAAACAGAAAAGAAGAACATCAGCAAGCATAGTCAGAATGATTATTCAGAAAATCCACATTAGAGCCACCATGTTTCCTAGGTTAGAAAGGACTATGACCAAAGTGAACTGGTACCCGAATACAATGGAACAGTGATAGATGATAGAAAAGTAGGAAAGTAAAATTGTAGGGCTGCATGTCCAGTGGGGTAGTTTGCTCGTTTGTCTCTCATGTACATATTTTCACTTGGTAAATAAAGTCAATTAATTACCAAAAAAAAATTAATTAGCAATGAAATTGACCATATTAACCTTTACTATCTCTTCACATAAACAATCCTAATACATACTCCAACAGTAATTACTCCAAGGACAATGTAGGAAAAAAATAATTAACTTATTTTTGAAATTTGGAAAAATCACTTATTTTGGATCACAAAAAAAACCAAAAAAACACTTATTTTGGACCGAAGGGAGTATTTTCTAGCAGTGAATATTCATTGTAAAAGATTAGTCTTTTTTTCTAACAATAAAATCGTGGAAGAAAGTATATGCAGCATGTTTTTTTGCTATCTTTTTGAGACAGGAGAAAGTAAAATTCTTGTAAAATGTGATACAACAAATGTACATTTAAATGAAATTTTGCTTCTTCCTCGTTTCTTGTTTTTCACATTTCTCACATTCAACTTTAACATATTCCTTTTTTTTGTTTCTATCCGGTATTCGATAGTCGTATTAAAGATTCGATTAATACAACCTTATATAGTGTAAGATCCATTAAAATAAAAAACACATTCAATCAAATTCATTTTTATTTTAAAACTCAAACTCGAAACATTTAATTAAAAATATAAATTCGAATCTTATCCATCTCATTATATTTAGAGACGACAAAGTCACAAAGGGGCTCATTTTTTCACTTGGTATAAATTTAGGAGGGAGGAGAAAGCTATGACAAAGTATACTTTCTTTGGTCAGAAAAGGGGGGACCCACAAACATTCCCCTCGGAACGCGTGCTGAAGAATAATCACTTCCACTTACCAAGATCGGCAACCTCTATTTCTTTATTCTAAATAATAGTAGATACTCCTAATAAACATCAATAATGATAATAATTAATTAATTGTAATCTGTCCATTTTATTTTATTATAGTATCCTTTAATATTCGTGGACAACATAGATGGATCAAAGATTTGAACTTTATGAATTTTTAGTATTTGGGCAAAAATAATACTTTTAGCAAGTGGGCCAATCATAAACGACATAATGAATAATAGGCATCGCTTCCCCATGACCGTTCCTTGTTTTTTTGGAGTTTTAGGACCATAAAATAGGAATTTAAGACGCTTTTCAATTTTTCATGTGCTAATGTCCATGCCATCTTCATGAATTCGGGGGACAGACTCCGAATCGCCTAAAATTTTGTGGGACCATCAGAAATGACCTAATGAACAATAGTCATTGCTTTGCCATGACCGTTCCTTGTTTTTTGGCATTTTAAATCCATAAAATAGGAATTTAGAATGATTTCCGACTTTCGTATGCTAATGTCCATGTCATCTTCATGAATTCGGGCAACGGACAACGGGCTCCGAAGTGCCTAAAATTTTGTGGGCCCACAAGAAACAACTTGAATAATGGTCATCAATTTGCCATGAGTGTTCCTTATTTTTTGGCGTGACCATTAAATAGAAATTCAGAATGATTTTTAATTTTTTGTGTGCTAATATCCACGCCATCTGTATGAATTCTGTCGACCGACATCGAATCACCTAAAATATTATAGGTTGATCCTAAATGACCTAATAAACAATAGTCATTGCTTCGCCATGACTATTCCTCATTTTTTGGCATTTTGGGGCTATAAAATAGGAATTTAGGATGCTTTCCAATTTTCGTGTGCTAATATCCACGCCACCATGAATTCGAACGATGGGCTTCGAATCACCTACATATTTGAGGGACCATCAAAAATAACCTATGAACAATTGTTATTGTTTTGCCAAGATCGTTCCTCATATTTTGGAATTTTAAGGCCATATAGAAATTTAGGATAATTTGTGACTTTTCATGTTAATGTCCACGTTATCTTCATTAATTCGGGCGACGGGCTCCAAATTACCCAAAATTTTATGGGCCTATCATAAACAAATTAATGAGCAATAGTCATTTCTTCTCCATGACCGTTTCTTATTTTTGACATTTTAGGGACATAAAACAGGAATTAAGCACGATTTCTGATTTTTCGTGTGCTAATATCCACGCCATCTTCATGCAGATGGACAAGAAAATCTAGGAATCGTCCTAATTTCCTATTCTATGGCTCTAAAATGCTAAAAAATAAGAAACAATCATGGCAAAGTGATGGCTATTGTTCATAAGTCGTTTTTGATGGGCTTGCAAAATTTTAAAAATTTCGGGACCGTCGCCCGAATTCATGCAGATGGCGTAGACTATAACACACGAAAATCTGGGAATTGTCCTAAGTTCTTGTATTATGATCCTAAAATACCAAAAAATGATGAACGGTCATAGCGAAGCAATGACTATTGTTCATTAGGTAATTTTTGATTGGCCCATAAAATTTTAGGAGATTCGGGGCCGGTCCTCCGAATTCATGCAGATGACATGGATTCTAGCACATGAAATGTGGGATTCGTCTTGAATTCCTCTTTTTATGGCCCTAAAGCCAAAAAACGGGAACGGTCATGGAGAAGAAATGACTACTATTCATTAGGTCAATTTTGATGTTCCTAATTTTTTTTAAGGAGATTGAGGGCCGGTTGTCTGAATTCTTGGAGATGGCATAGACTATAGTACAAGAAAATCTGAAAATCGTCCTAAATTCCTGTTTAATTGCCCTAAAATACCAAAAAATAAGGAACGATTATGGCGAAGTCATAACTGTTGTTCATTAGGCCATTTTTATGGGCTAGAAATTTTTTAGGAGATTCGGGGCCAGTTACTCGAAATCATGCAGATAGCATGAACTAACATGAAAATGTGGGAATCGTCCTGAATTCTTTTTATATGGCCCTAAAACGTCAAAAAAAAGGAACAGTTATGGCGAAGAGATGACTATTATTCATTAGGTTATGTTTTTATGTTTCTACAAAATTTTAGGAGATTCGGGGCCGCTCATCCAAATTCTTGGAGATGGTGTGGACTATAACACATAAAAATCTGGAAATCATCTCGAATTCCTATTTTATGGCCTGAAAATGCCAAAAAATAAGGAACGGTCATGGCGAAGCGATAAATATTGATCCTTAGATCGTTTTTGATAGTCTGGCAAAAATTTTAGCCGATCGAGTCTGGTCGCCCCGACGCATACATGCGGCATGGGCTATAACACAAAAAATCGAGGAATCAGACGGAATTCCAGTTTCTAGCCCTAAAACGCCAAAAAATAAGGAACAGTCATGGCAAGGCAATGACTATTGCTCCTTTGATCTTCTTTAATGGTTTGACAAAATTTTAGGCGATACGAGTCCGGATATCTGGATGCATGCAGATGGCGTGGGCGGAATTCTAGTTTTATGACCCTAAAATGCCAAAAAACCCCGAACGGTTGTGGCGAGGCGATGAATATTGTTTCTTAGGTCGTTTATATGGTCATGCAAAATTTTAGGTGTTCGGATCTGGCCTCCCGCATGCATACAGATAGCGTGGGCTATAACACATGAAAATCTAGGAATCGGGCGGAGTTCCAGTTTTATGACCGTAAAACTCCAAAAATGAGAAACAGTCATGGTGAGGCGATGACTATTATTTCTTAGATCATTTTTAAGGTCCGGTTTATTTTTAGGCGATTCGGGTCTGGTCATCCGGATGCATTCAGATGGGTTGGGCTAAAGGAACATTAATCATCGCCTCGTCATGACCGTTCCTTGCATTTTGGCGTTTAGTGATATAAAACTATAATTTCGCCCGATTTCTAGATTTTCGTGTGCAATAGCCCACACCATCTGCATGGGCTCGGGC